GCTATACTTCTCTTCAATTAGATGTAGATATTTTTAAAACATCATACATTCATTATTTTAAAAAGAACTCTTTTAATAAATTAGGAATAGAAGGGAATTTCTTTAGCATGATATAAATAGCACATATAAAAAAATTAAGCAAATGTAGTCCTCAGTGGGGAAACATTATAACATTACCCTTTAAAATCTGAAATGAGGTAAGAATGTATAAGATCACCCATCTTTCATTCTTGTAGCAGATGTTCTTGCCAGTACATTAACTTAAGAAAAAGGAATTCAAAGGGAGAAGAAAAAATAAAATTATCACTATTTGTAGTTGATATGATCATTTACATAGAAAACCCCAAAGAATCTACAAATACTTAGAAATAATAGAATTTAACAAGGTAGCTCAATAGAGGATTAATATAAAACAATGAACTGTCATTTCACACACCAGCAACAAAAATAATTAAATAGAAGATACTATTTACAACAGTATTAGAGGACGTCAATTACCTAGGAATAAATCTAACAAAAGATGAATTAAAACCACTACAGGGAAGATCATAAACTTTAAAGAAGAACCAAACAATGGAGAGCTATGCCAACTTCACTGAATGAAAGATTCCATTCTCTCCAAATTAATCTACAGGGAAATTTTTATCAAAATCCAAAAGGTTATTTTGGGGAGGAATCTGATAAGCAAATTCTAATCTATATGGAAGAGTAAAGAGCCGAGAATAGCCAGGCCACTTTTCTGAGAAAAATTTGAGTTTTCACTTGACCTAACCATATCAGGACTTATTTGAAGCTGCAGTAAATGAGGCAATGCTAAAGGCCCTGGGATACATATGGTGACCAATGAATAGGGAGCCCAGAAACAGGCACATATATATGAAGTGTTGACACATAACAGAAATGGCATTCCAGATGAGTAGGGAAAGGATAGACTATGCAGTAAATAGAGCTGGGCAAGCGTTTCTCTGTAGAAAAAAATACATGAAACTGGATTAGTGACAGTTATTCACCCTGCATCTCTCAGTACCAACCCCACTCTTCTATACTCTTCTCTAGAATGCAGGTTATAATGTGTGTTTGCTCTATTATGTGAGAATATTCAGTTCTGTTACAGAGGACAAGGAAAGCAGACAGAATGGGTGAATTTCATCAGATGTACTATTTATAGGGGATAAGTAAGCAAGTGGTTTGTGAGACATAGGCAGAAGTCACATGTGCTAAAAGTAGGAGCAAATTTGTAATCTGTGAGACATGCAAAAATAGAATAAATTGAATATATTATAAAAAGAAGGGACCAAACAAAAGTGTTACTTACAGGTAGAAAGGAATAGAAAAATCAAATCATGAGTCACCAAGTGTAGAGAGCATGCCTCCTCGGGCTGACAGCCAGGTCATCCCTAAGTTGTCTACCTATTGGTAGACATTGTTCTGGCCCCTGTATGCTCTGCCCCATAAACGCTGACAAAAGGGATGGCTGCCCAGAAGAACACTTACGAGCTGTGTGCATAAACCTGCCACCCGACCAACTTGCCCTTGCATCTCCCAATAGAGCAAGTATATGTTGGTTGCAAGCATCTTCCACCTACTGATCCTTTAACCTCAATGCTGGTCCTCAAAACTGCACTACTGGAGCAAAACACAAGATTCAGAGAATGTGTGGTCCTTTTACCCTGCTTGTACCCATCGCAAGTGGGTTAACTTACCCCAACTCTTTCCTCTTGGTTCTAGCTGTATGTTTTAAATAGATTCGGTAACCTTCGTGATTTGATTACCATAATTTGGTCTGAGCCTTCTTGGTCTGTGGCCTCTGTAGCCTGCCTAGAGCACACTGGAGGTTTCCACTGCATGGAGCCAATTTCCCACAAGACCCTAGGGCTGGGAATCTATATGCCACATCTCCCAGGTTCCCTTGTCAGCTGGTTTCTGGTTACGTTCTGCCAAGAGGAAGCACTGGAGAGAGACTGGCAGATGGGAAGAGGACAGAAAGGGCTTACTTCTGACCTCAGGTTCTCATCGCCTCCCTCTAATATCTGTACACCTCCACCACCAAGCATCCTTCCTTGCCAAACTGGGCTCCGAACCCTGAAAGCTTTCAAAGACCCAAGACAAGTTAGCAATGTGGGAAAAACGTCTTGTTTCCAAAATACAAAAATGGAAAATCAAAATGAACAAATGTTTTATTAAATGCCTCTAAAAGGTAAACTCAGCCAACTTGTAAACTGCAATTCAACTCTTTAGCACTTATATCAGTATATAAATGTAATAAAGCTTGAACCACAAGAACAAAATGAAGAATATATCATAAAACTCAAAAAAATTGTAAATAATTTCCCTTATTTTTTTTACATCAAAGTAGTTATATTTGACATGGGATGAGGGTCTATTTTAAATGGATTGATATGACATGTGTGTGTTTTGGGGCTGGGGTGGGGGATGTTCAATGGTAAGGGTGGCCATAACCTAGAAGTCTATCAGGGCCCAACAGAGCCTCTCACTCTATAGATTTCTGCTGCATCTGACACAGAGTGTGGTGTAGGTTTATTTTTATTTTCTAAAGATTTTTTTTTGATGTGGACCATTTTTTTTAAAGTTTTTATTGAATTTATTACCATATTGCTTCTTTTTTATGTTCTGGCTGTGAGGTATGTGGGATCTTAGCTCCCCAACCAGGGATCGAACACGCACCCCCTGTGTTGGAAGGCGAAGTCTTAACCACTAGACCGCCAGGGAAGTCCCTGCGTGGTGTAGTTAACATCCTCTTTCAGCAACAGCTCATGTGACAAAGTAGGGGAGCAGAAACATTGAGGAGTAGCCAGAAAAGGCTAGAGCTTTGAAGACCCTTGCTAGCTCAGCTCTATGTGGCCTGTGAGGAAACGTAAGGCTGGGGCCCCAGGGCAGACATGTGTCCAATGGCCAGAACCTGAGTTTGTGGGTGGCCAGGGCAAGGTCATGTGTGCTTGGAGTCATGAGTCTCAGTGGCCCTGGAAAATAGAAAGAGTGGTCAGTTATCACCTAGTGTCATGGTTCTGGTGTCATCTATAGTCTTGTAGGCCAGAGAAGAACAGTTCTGGTTTCCCAGAGGAAGTGATTTGTCAGCCTCCAGTGCCTCCTACTCCTATTTCCCTCCCTGAGGTCTGCCATCCACTTTGTACCTAACCTGTCTTTGTTCTATACCAGGGCTTCTTAAACTTTAGCGTGTATAGAAGAGAGTGCCTATTAAAAGCGCAGATCCCCAGACCTTACCCTTGATTCTCTGTAGACCATGCTTTGAGAAGCTCTGTTCCATAGGATCGTTGTCTCCTCTGCCCCCAAAGCTAGTTAAGAAATTCAGGTGCTAGGGACAAGTTCATGCTCCAGCTAGGGCAGACAAAGGGCATTTGAAGTAACCAGACGAATTTACTAAGAATGAAGAAGAGCCGAGAGGGCCAAATTGGTTTTCATGTGGGGTTTTCAACCCCACATTTTGTTCACAACCTCTCATTGGGGGTTAAGCAGATCCAGCTCCTGGAGCTGAGAGAGCTGGGGGTCGGCGGAGGGCAACTCTTTTTCTCTGTTAATTGGGAGTTCCAAGGACAAAAGCCTGATTTTAAAAATGTATCTTGTAACCCTTTCCGTCCCCATCTGCAGGCCCTTGAGATCACAGTGTAGTCAGATCTGAATCACCATTTGCACTTTGAAACAGATACATACCATACCACCATGTTCTACCAAATCTGCATCAGAAGCCTTTGGTTTCATTATGTGATGAAAGGCTTTGTTTCCTCTGCAAAGGAAAGTTAGGCAGCATGATCAGAATGGGAGTTTCGGGTTGCTTTTAGACCTGGACACCCTTCTACTTTCATAATGCTAGGGGGTCTGCGGAGAAGTAAATCAGAAAAGAGCAGTGCTGGGCTTTCCTCTCTCTCCCTTTTGGCTCTGTGGAACAGACATCATGGAAGAGACTGGACTGGGTATTTGTAATCATGTGATCCCACTCAGGATCTCAGGGCATAGTCTCCAAGACTGTGCCTTCTCTTACCCGCACCCCCCCCCCCACCTGGTGCCGTCATCTGCTCCTCCTGGCTCCTCTGTCTTCCAGTATCCATCTCCCCAATCCAGTCCTTGACTAGGCTGACTGCCCAGTTCAAAGTTTCTGTAATTCAGTTTACCAACAACCAGAACAACTCACAAGGAGTACACAGCTCCAGGATCAATTAGGTAGAAGAGGGTGGAGTCAGGGGAAGTCTTTTTTTCCGATAAGAGAGCAGGAGGAAGCCCCTAGAGTCTCAGCCCCAGGACTGGAGAGAAGGCACCCCAGGTGCTAGGGGAGTCCTTTGTCTTTATGATGATGGTGACAGGATCAAACTATGTGCGAAAATAGGGACGGTAACAGGAAATAACCCTCCAAATGAAAATAAATAGATCTTGTAAGAAAAATAATTAAAAGAAAGTGAATAATTACTGTCATTTATATGTCCTGCTCAGGCTTTCTGCATCATTAACACACAGCATAGTCTCTGGTAGAGTATCACTAAATGCCTCAGATTTGACATGTGCTAAATTGTACCTGATTAGCAAAATGCTCACACTTGTAAACTCAGGTCCTTACTGGTAGATTCCATCTGCAAGATTGTTCTCAGCTTAAAACTTAAAAGAAAAGCAAAAAGGAAAGGAAATGGAAAAAAAAAATCAGAGGAAACTTGCCCCCTGCCCTGGACACGGGCAAGGCTGACACAAAGGGGTTAAAGTTAAGTGAAGTCGAGCTTTAAGAAGATGGGGCCTCTATATAAAGTTGAACAAGACGTCTGGGGCCCTCACAAAACCTTTTTTGGCTTCGACAGCGGCAACCCCAGCCTGCCTCCTAACGTCCTCCGCCTTTGGGACCAAGCGGGAAGCTCACGTTAGTGGCAGCCAAGGAGAGGGGTTGGTCGTGCCAGGACTAAAGAGGGAGGGGAGGGGAAAAAGCAAGTTTCGCCCACCCCACGCTCGGGCGGAGGGGCGGGAGCTGCGCGTCCGGGCCTGGCCAAGCAGCGTCTCGGGCTCTGTGCATCTCTTCGGGAGCGGCGCGGGAAGGATGCTCGTCCGCAGGGGCGCGCGCGCGGGGCGCGGGATGCCGCGGGGCTGGACCGCGCTCTGCTTGCTGAGTTTGCTGCGTGAGTATGGGCCGCGCGCCCGGCCCGGCCAACTTGGTGGCGGGGAGGGTCGACGCTCTCCCGGAGGCAGAGCGCGCACAGCCGAGTTAGGCGGAGCGAAGGGACCCCTGCCCTACCCCATGCCCCCACGCCCACGGCTGCTCCTGGCTTGGTGGGACCGGGGCCGCTTGAACAGAGCCCAATGGGCACTGGTGCCTCCGCTGGGAATGGGTGGGGGTGGGACGCGCCGGGAAGGCGACCACACTGTGAGCGTGAACTAGCCCAGGTGTAAATCGGAGGTCGCGCCGGAGGCTTCCCAGAGTCAATGAGGCTCTCTCGAGTTGTCTCTAAAGTAAAGCTCTTTGAAGATGCCAGTGTCCTTTCGCATTGCCAAAGGTGCAGAGTGCAGAGTTGGAGCCAGAACCAGGAGAGAGGGGAGGAGAGAAGCAGGAAAGTTTCGTGACTGACGGTTGATTCAGAAAGCTGCGGCCTGAGCCTGGGAAGAGAGCGGTTCCTGGGAAGAGAGCGTTGGTGCCCACCGACCACTAGGACAGGGGGAGTCAGAATTGGACATTCAAGGAACCGGAGCGAAGCCAACCTGGGATGAGGCCCCAGGTCCGAGGTCCAGAGGCCCTGGAGGCAGGCTGAGTTAGGTGACATGGGGAGTTTGGAATGAAGAACAGTCCGTGAAAATATTCTTGCATTTAAGATCGCAAAGCTAAGTTACACTCCGTCTTCTGACACCCTCTTCTCCATGCCACTGGAGAGAAGGCACAGGGTAGATGGAGTTTGTTCTGTGCCCTGCTTTCCTCTCCCCACTGCAACCCCTCACCCTGGCACAAACTCAAACTTGTTACATTTTGGAGTTTTCTCCCCCTGCCCTTCTTCTCCAAGTTCTAAAACTAGTGGACAGATCAGCAAACTGGTGGACACTCCTTGGCTTATCCACATCCGCCCTGACTTCTTAAGCTCTTGCACTCACTTTGGTTAAAAAGAAAAATTAGTAGGCGCTCAATAAATATTTATTCCTAATTGCTTTCATTTGGGGATAACATTCTCCATCTCATCTCACTGCACTTAGAAGGATTTAAACATTGTAAGTTATTCTCCCTTTGGCTCCAGATTCTGCTTCCAGGCCTCTAGGACTCCCAATTCCCTACTCTTATTGCATCCTAAAGGCCACCCACCATGGCCCCCCAGAGTGACCTGGGCCAGCCAGCTAGGCCTCTTTGCTCTCAGTCTCCTCTGCTGTCCCCCTTTGGGTCCACCCAGTTGGAGAGAGACTCCAGGCTGGAGAAAGCTCTAAGTTAGGCTCTGGGTTGACCTGTTTGACAGCCCCAGACATGCCCTTCGGGGCAGGGAAAAAGCTGTCAGTAAGGTGTCCGTTGAAGCCCTAGAATGGAGAACTGCCCTGAGGGCTGGCTCCACCTCACAATGGGGTGAGTTGACCAGCGGCTCAGATTCCTATCCGATGCTCCACTCTCCTTTGGCTTCACAGCTCATGATGACCTGGTCCTGGGCCCAGTGAGGCCCACCCTTTTCTTATTTCCTCAGCTGGCCAGTCTCAGTCTCGCCTTGGCCTGCAGCAGTGGGGACGGGGAGGGCGATTTTAACCTCTGCAAAACCTTGGGCAGATATGCTGAGAATTTCAGTGTCTCCGCTTTGGGGATGAGCGGTGGGGCCTGGGTCCCTATGCTCAATCTTGCCAGCCTGCTAAGGCCAGTGTGTAGCTTTATGCATTCCCCAAGAGCTTTCTAGCGTTTGTTTTTATATAATACTAGGAGTCATTTTCTATTATACTGTGGGGTGACTGGAATGAGTGAGTGACTGTACCTTGAAATGCTAACAAAGGAGCATTGCAGAAATTCTGTGCCATTGTTACTGTGAACTTTAGGGCAGAAGAGGGTTCTGTGGTTTTCTCCTCACTGACCCTGACAAAGAGCTTTGTTCTGGGAAGGTCTTTTTTCTGTCGCTGTGAGAACTTAGCCTGGGCTTGGGTACAGCAGCCAACCAAAAGTGGACTTTCTCTGTTGTAGATGGGGTGGCTCTGGGTGGTGACCAGAGTCAGGGTGGGCGCTGAGAGGCCACCAGGTAGCACTGCCACACCACCAGCTGGAAAGAGAAATCTTTCAGGTAATCAGGGAACCCCATTTGTCAGCCCCAGGGTATCTGTTTCCTCCAAGCCCTCCAAGGCTGTCCTTCCTTTTTCCCTAACAAGTACCACCCTTCACATTCCTCTCCTTCCTTTGGGTCCTTCGTGTCTGCTGACCCCACACCCATATCCTGTCTGGGGCTACGTGTAAGAGGGGAAAAAAGAAAAGGGAAAAGAATTTTATCAGATATTTTCCGGAGGGGAGAGGACTCCACCCTTTGACTCTCTGCCACATGGCGACCAAGAAGGAGCAGCCTTGGGACCTCTGACTAATTCCGTGGTCCCCAGTTCTCCCCCTTGTAGGGCCAGCCCAGCTGGCATAGCCTTTGCAAATGCAAATCTTCGGCAACATTCCTGTTTGACTGATAAAACGAGCCTGGGCATCTTTTTCTTATCCCTTTGGCTCCACCTCCTGGGGCTGTTCATTCACTAGTTCTCATCTCCTTCCTTCTCTGAGTCTTTGTCTCCAAAAGCTCAGGGCAAGAAGTGCCAAAGTGCAACAGATAAACTCAGGCTCAGAGTCTTACAAAAACACATCCAAAGGAGCCACAAATTCCGCTTCTTACCATCTCACTGCCTGATTTCCTTTAGATCCTGGGCAGGAGGGCCTGGACTTACTTTCAGAGCTGGATGGTTACCCAGTTCCACCCTCAGGGTGCCTGGGCCTCCTACTCCCACTGACTTTGCTGGATGTCACTAAATGGCCCCGAGTGTGGGGAACTGAAAATGTGAAGGTGTGGAAAAAGAATAAAACACACCCTCCAAAAGAAAATGCTTGGAGTCGCCAGGGCAGAATTTCCATATTTTTCTGGGCTTTGACTTCCCTAATGAGAACATTCTCTTCCTTCCTCAGCTAAGAAATAAAAACACAGTATCTACGATTTTTAGTCCCGAAGGCCCTAGACTTTGCTAAGGAGAAAGACGCGTGCATCTTGAGAGAATGTGATACAAATAAATAGGGATGTATACCACGGTGTACTTCCTAGGACCTACACTCTGGAGACCACTGAAATGAATCACTTCCCTTTGGAATACAAAGGAAAAACCTCTGGCTTGATTGGGAAGTTTGCTCCTGGTTTAAGAGGAAAAATAACCCAAAGAACCCACCACTGATACCTTCTTAGCAGAGCAGCATCTCTAGGTAGCCAGCTCCATTATTTAAGAAAACGCCTTAATGAGTCTTTGGGTGAAAAAACCTAGACTCCTGCACAAACCTTTGATGTGCAGTGGCAGACAGGAGGCTGAATTGCTGAGCATGATAAAATAAAGTAGAACTTTGTATTTGATGGGCCCTAGAGACAAAAGGCTAAAGGACTCCAGAGGCCAGGAGAACATAGAGAGAGGAGGGGAGGTGCTGGGAGCAGTAGGGAACAGTAGTGAGTGGAAGGTGGAAAAGACCTGGCTGGGAAAATTCCTTATGGTGTGGCCCGGCTGTTTAGCATAGGAATGTCTAGCCTAGGATTTCAAGATTATACCTTTGTCTCTTCTGGGCTGTGCTGTAATCTCCCTCCATGATCTCAAACCTTCAGTAAACACGCACTGGCCTTGTAACACTGTTAGTGGTGCTCTGGGGTGGGGTGGGGGGAATAAAGGAATGGGTGTTTGGCAAGCCCATGGTGCAGTAGTGTAGAACGAGAACTCCTGCAGCCTGAGGACAGAGAGGCACAGAGCTGTGAGACAGGGGTCGGTGGCAATTAGGAAAATGGAGAAAGAGGTGACTGGGAGAGACGTAGCCCCCAGGGAAAGCTCAAGATATTGGGGTCCCACAGGAAGTGGATGTCGGCCAAGACATGCTATTTGAATATTAAAGGGGAGTCTCAGTACCCTGGGAACACTCAGGCCACAGACACTTTTTTATGCTCACACCTCAGTTTAGCCTCTGCAGTGTAGGAAGGCATCAGCCCAGTTCTTTGATCTAGTTCAACATGACCCAAACCCACCGAGACCCATAGCAGGGATGCTTCCTGAATGCTCCCAGGAAAGATGGGTGGCTCACTATCTCCCAGAGTAGTTCATTCTATTAAAAAAAAAAAAAATCCCATGATTATTAGCTTTTTCTGTACTGCAGTGAATTAGCCTTTATATAGCTTCTGATCATTAACTGCAATTCTATTCCTTAAACTCTCGCAGAATTAATCTGATCTTTCTTCATGACAATCCTTAACAACCTTTCTCGTCTGCTCCACTAGATTATAAGCTCCTTGAGGGCAGGGATTTATTTAAATTCTAGTGACACTAACACCGAGCAGTAGAAAGGTATCTTCTCTTAGCTTGTGCTCCGCACAATGCTGTTTGGTGGCGCTTCGGGAAGATAAGAATGAATGAACGAGTGAAATGAATCTTGAAGAAAGGTATTTATTCTTTCTCCCTAAATTCTTCCTTTCTATATCAAAAATCAGCAAATTTTTTCTGTAAAGGGCCAGATAGTAAATATTTTAGGCTCTGGAGTCCATATGTGGTCTCTGATGCATACTCTGTTTTGTTTTATTTTACAACACTTTAAACATGTAGAAGCCATTCTTAGCTCACTGGCCAAACAGCACACAGCCCATGGGTTGGATTTGGTCCACCAGCTATACTTGCCAACCCTTGATCCAGATGAAATAGCACTAAACCCTCAACCATATGACTTGGTTTCTAGAACTTTCCTAATTCTGGTTATCATCTCATGGGCACTCCCTTAATTAAATAAATTCCCTCTTAAAATATAGCATTGAATGGCATGGTACTACATAGAGGTGGTCAGTGTGAACACTGTTCTACATAGAGGTGGTCAGCGTGAACACTCCTGGTGCAGTTGCCATTCAACCCAAGTGCTTATTGTGAACTCAGAGGATTGTGCTCAGTGCCCTGAGTAATACAGACAAGTATGAGAGATGGTTCCAGCACTCAGGAAACCTATGATGTAACCAAGGTGACAAGACCTATACTCAGGAAACAGCATATATGATCTTGGGCCAGATAACTCATGGAGATATGTGTCTTAAGGTCTCTGAGAAGCAGGAAAAAAGGGACCTGTCCTAAAGATAACCACTGTTTCTTGAGCATTTACCAGACAGGCAACTGCTTTACACCCCCATCTCCTTTATTCCTGCGAACAAGGAGGTAGGCACTATTTTTATCTCCATTTTACAGGTGAGGTATAGAGAGGTGAAGAAGCTTCCCGAGGCCATGCAACTAGAACTCGGTAGAGGAGCCTTTCAACAGGGTCCAATTACAGAGCCCGAGCTCTTTGTTTTGAGGCTTTCCTGTCTTCTCATCAACCATCAACGCAGGCTGTGGGCTCCCAGCAGAGGCCAGCTTGTCCCTTCTTCCTAGTACTGCATCTAAGTTACCCAGGATCTCCTCCAAGAAATTCCTCTTGGGCCAGGTGCTAGAATTTGAAAGGATGGGTAGAACGGTGCTGACTGACTGAGAGATAAGAAAACAGCACCAGCACAAACTAAAACTCAGAGGGTCTGTGAAAAACAAGACCAAATATAGGGGGAAAAAACCTTCTCCTAAAGTACAGGAATTTAGTAACTTAGTTAGCAGAACTTTCTGGATCTCTGAGGATTTGTAAACCCCCTTTAAAGACTAAAAGAATCTTTAATTTACTAATTGTAGGTAGAAATCTTTTAAAAACATATTACCTATGTTTCTGCTTTCTTAGTGTATCAGGAAAAAAAGGGCTTTAACCTTCAGACTCAGTTGTATCATGAAAATAATTCGGTTATGGTGCAACTCCGTGGCATCATTAATGCCTACGAAGGTGTATATTTTCATTTACTCCTACCATAAATGGTTCCAGACTAGCGTGGTTTTTGATACTCATGTCTGTTTTTCATTTATTGCTGCTTATTCATTTTCAACTGTTGCTTCTCCTTATTGTTTGCTTCTATTGTTTGCTTCTCTTTCTAATTTTTAGCTTTAGCTAGGATATCAGATAAACAAGTTTGTTAGGATTGTGTGTAAAACAAGAATAATTGCCTCTGAAATAAGTACCTGTAAGTTAAATGCATGACTTTTACAACATGAATTTTGTGACATCTATTTGGCTTCTTGGAATCCTCATTTTGCTAACTTCCTGATACCTTGTCCCCTTTTGTCCCAAGTTCATGGGTTGAGATCAAGTAGGGTAGGTAGGGGCAAATAGGGTACTTAGGGAGAGGCAGTTAATAAAGATGGAGTGAGAAGTAAACAACAGAAGATAGCCTTTCATTCAAATTTAAATTGTAGTATAATGCTCTGTTGGGTTGGGGGTAAGGGCTGTTCTTCCAGTCTAGAGTGGAATGGGGTGGAGGTTTCATCGCTTGTCTCTTGGACCTGGCTGGTAGGCTGCTATGACTTCCATACAGAGTTGGGGATAAGAAGCTCAGATAAAGAAAGATCAGTATTGGATGGTTTAATGCCATGGGTGTGGGGGGCAATATAGGATAAGAACAAATCTGTGGTCAGTCTTGATTCTTATAAATGTCATTCCTCCAAGACCCATCTCTTCATGGGAGCACGAGAAAGGGAGCCCTAGAGACTGTGAGAACAAGAGACTCCAGTCTCTACTGACAGCCACTGTGCTGCAGTGTAGGTCAGGATTGGCCCCCAGGGTTCTGCCAAGGTGTCCCCTTGCCCTACACCAGCTCATATGTACCCCATTGCTCAGCCTTGCCTTTCTGCCTTCCCTTTTTGTCCTGTTTCTCTAGGGTCTCAGAGTCTTCCCCACTCACCCTGGGCTCAGCACATAAATCTGAGATTGGGGTTCCCTTTCCATTTGCAGACGGATCCTGCAAACTGTTCCTCAGTTCTTGGCTGCGGGATGGGTGGGAGGGGGCAGCCGCAGCCGGGAGCCTGACCCTAGTGGCTCAGTAGCTGGCCTGGGTCCAGGATTGCTTCACTCATCTGGAACAGGCACGTCTGTCCTCAGAGCTAGCAGCAGGTCTCTCTTCACATCTGGAAAAGTTCAAAACTGTTTGTCTGGGTGAAGGAGGCCCTGGGGGAGGGGGTTCAAAAGCATGACATCACCTCAGCCAGGCCCAACTTTCTCTGGGGAGAGAAGAGGGCTGGGCCAGGTTGGGCCAGATGGGATTCCCAAGAATTGATGTATTGGTGGGAAGAAGAAAAAAGGGTGGGCAGGAAGAGTGATGTCAAGGGGGAGTTCCGGTGGTGCCTTGGAATATGGTACCTTGAGAGGATGGTCCTTCAATTCAGTGTCCAAATGTTCCCACCACCTGCCCCCTGAACTGAACTCATACCTTAGGGTCAGATTGCTGAGAGGGACTTATTTCAGGACAAAAGAAGACTGGATCTGCTTCCCCACCTATTTTATTTTGATAAATCCACTCCCCCCTCCCCGCTACTGCCCCCTATCCCAGCCAGAGAGGAGCCCATACTTTTCTCTCCAAAATATGGAAGATGCATCCTAATCTTTGGCAGTTTGGACCCCCGACCCTCTTGCTACTTCTACTCAAGAGTCAGCTAAACCTCAGTGGCCCCATTGCTCCTTGCCCTGCATGAATGATGGCCTTCCTTCTTGGCCAAAACTCTTATCTCTAAAACGGAGATAGTAATATCACTTGCTCCTCCTGCACCCTTGCCCTATAATTTTGAGATATGAGTTTTGTACTCACCATGAGTATCAACCTACCTGCAGCAGGCTGGGAAGAGAGGCAGATGAGGGAGAGTGAGACTTGCCACCACCTTTAGGGGAGACTTTTGACCTCAGGTTCATTGCCTTGAAACTAATGCCTAACATCCGCCTTGATGCTGAGGAAAAGAAGAGGTGTCATTTTGCACTGCTATTTACCCGGAAACTTCTGTAAAATACAGGCCTAGGTTTCAATCAGTAAAGTTAGAGACAAGCTTTAGGGTGGCCTGGGACCCTCAGGTGCCTTTCCTTGAGGATGCTACTGCCGGGTATGAGCTCTGAATACCAAGTCTACCCCTAATACTTACAGGGCTCAAGCTAAGAATACAATGGAGGCCCACATATTATAGGTTTTAAATACTTCAAAGTTATAAATCAGGCCAACCATATGGTAAATAAAATATCGTCTATCCTCTTACCTTGAAAAACTTACCTTCATGGCCACCTGGAAGGCCAGATTTGAATTTAGGACCCTCAGAGCCTTGGAGTTCAATGCCACAATGTGGCTTAGCAGGAAGAGGTGGTCCTCGGCCCTTGCCTACCCTCTTCTCTTCTTCTTACTCATGGCTCTGGTCCATACTGTAAGGGATCTTGCATGCAGGCAAGGGACACCCCACCTACAAGGTGGGGTTAGATCTTAAGCTCTAACCCTTCTCCCTGCAAACAGCCACCCATTGGCCACCCTTGGGCCTTGGAAGCACACACCCTGGTGCTGCAGTTCACCCTTGGAAGGAGGGACTGGGAGAACAGGCCCATGCAGGTCCTTAAGTGAGCAAAGAGCCATTTGGGCAAGAAGTTCTAGGACTTCTGGTCCCAACACATGATCTAGAAGAGAGGGTACACCTCTGTTGGCCCCATGGACTCCTCGTAGCTTGGGGATGGGGAGGACAGGAAGAGGAACAGAGTGTAGGCTCTAAAGTGCAGGGTCCAGACAGGTAGCTTCTCCTTTCTGGGTCTAAGGATGGCACTGCTGGGTACCACAGGAAACATGGAAGGGTAAGAACCTGCAGGAAAATTTTCAAAGAATAACTAGTTCCAGGAACATTATACTATAGCAATTTAACATTTGTTATCTCATTGATTTTCCCAATAACCCCTCACTTTAAAAATTAGTAAACTGAGACACACACACATTAAATTACAGAGTTATTGACAGAGCCAGGACTAAGCTCTCTGTTCCCAGGACATTTGTTGAGAAACCAAGCCTTATGCTCTCTAGTCCGTCAGCTAGATTCCTAGGTCGGAGCTTCCCGAAAGAAATCTTGTGGTTGCTAGCTGCAGTTCCTCAATAAAAGGAAAGAATGAAAGGATTTGGGGAATGGGGGAATCTAGGGAGGATAGAAGATTTTTAAAGGATTACATAGAGATGGTGTCAATCTAGTGATTATTCCAAGAGTTAATACATTGGCTGAAGAGAAGGATACATTAAAAAGGAAATAGAGGCACATCTTTTCCCACATTTTAGATCTTGGCAATACTTATTCAGGTGTAATTTGAAATTTTAATATTTTACTTAGCATGTTATGAGCATTGCCTCATATTCTTATGCTGCTATAGTTTTAGCATTTTTTTATTTGCAATGATTATGGTATGTTAAGTGCATATAACATCTATCCTATTGTAATTCATTTAGTTGCTTGCAACTTTTCCCTTCTATAAATAATACTATACTAGATGTTTGGTGCACGCAAACTTTTCCTTCTCTCTTTCCTTAGGAAAAATCTAGTGAGAAATTAGTCACATGTCCAGGAGGATGTCCTTGTTCTGCTCTGTTGCCAGGGGTGGCAGGGGATGTTCTAGATGGATTCTACCTAAAGCCAAGAAATTGAATCAGGTGATGCCATGAGGCTCCAGGATGATTTGAGTTCTGATATTTCTTCTTTGTTTCTCTATAGCCTCTGGGTTCACAAATACAGAGAACTTGACTACTACTGCCACAAAGACATCTACCCCAGGAATATCTTCAACTGTCCCTACAACTATACCCAACCAGGAAAGCACAATATCAAGTACTTTTGGAAACATCAGCCTCTACGCTGTCTCTCAGGACAGCAATGGGAACACAGCAGCCATCTCAGGTAAACAGTGTTTGTCTCGGGCCCCAGAAGGATGCTGCTGGCACTAGGGTAAAGCATTAGGTTATTTGCAAATACCCCCACCCTCTATTTCCTGCCACAGATGGAAACATACAAGCCCCTTTTAATAGTGGCTTGAGTATCGTGCTTACGGTACCCTGAAGTAAGCGCTAGACACTTCTTCCTGTAGTGACAGCTTTCTCAACACCGTGGCAGCTGATCCTGATTTATAATGCTCCTTGCACCCTTTGAGTTCAGCTTAGTGATAAAATAAAGATCTGATGAGGACTCTGTAGAGATCTCTGAGCTCTTCTAAGTGAACAGACTGTGTACAGGTTCAAACTGGGGGTCTTTGACATCTCTAGGGTGGACCAGTTTCCAGTTCAGTTTCTGAGTCCTGAGGGCATCTCTAAGACATTCTATGATTATAGCTATGGTTCTAACAGCTGGCTGGAAATGAGTTAGTAAGGGTTAAGACATGAAGTAACTCTTAATTCCCCAAATTCCCTTTTCTGGGTTGAAGTCCGTGCCTATGTCAATGAACTGAGATGTGTTTGTGTGTGTGTGTGTGTGTGTTTATGCCAATGCGCATATATTCACACTTCTGTTTTGGTCAATTCCAGAGCCTACAGTCAATTTCACATCTACCTCTGGGATCACCCCAGTCCCTGGAACCATGAACTCTTCTGTCCAGTCACAGACCTCTTTAGCCACCACAGTGTCTTCTACCCCCATCAACTTTACAACTTCAGAGATGACCTTGCAGCCCAGCATGTTACCTGGAAATATTTCAGATTCCCCATACAATAGTACCAGCCCTGTGACATCTCCCACTAACCCCTATACATCATTTTCTCCTATCCCAAGTACCATCAAGGTGGGTGAATCAGGCCAAAAATGACAGATTGCCCCCTCACTTCATATGTATGCAAGCTCTCTCTTCCCCTTAACCTCTGCTTATCCCAACCAATGAATTTGGGTCGTATAGGAGTTAGCGTGAAAAATGTGCAGCATAAATATTGCTGGAAGGGATAGAAAAGGGAGGAGAGGGGTAGCGTTGGGTAGCAAGGCTGATCTGTGCCGTGGGTACTATATTTCTAGGAAGTAGAGAGTAAAGAGGATTCTCAGAAATCCATCTAATTCTCTGTGGTTCTTTCCAGTACCTCTTGGTCCAATCTTTGACTAGGGTACCACTCGCCTTTGGGCATATTTGGAAACCATCTTCTACTTAATGGCGCTGCTTTTCCCAAAATGTTTAGGGCAAATACCATTTCCTCTAGGCAAGAGGGTTTGGTGGTATGCCAGGAGTAGAGAGGCAGTGAGGAACTAGGCAGAACAGGGGTGTTGAGCTCAACCTGCCTTTCTCAGCCTTTGGGCCTGTGACTATCAACAGCTTTCAGCAGGAAGAGTAGAAAATGTGAGGGCATGGAGCCTGGGGGCAGGCATGGGGGATCTGCCTGGTTTCTGTTTTTAAAGGAGCCAGAATAGAAATATGGAGAGTTCTAAGGGACCAGGAGGAAAATGAGTGTCACCAGGATCTGCCTGGCCACCTCATTATCTGTTTCGCTGCAAGTGTGTAATTCACTGGAGGGAAAACAGCTCAAAGGGGAAAAGATCCTCCCCTCTTCCATTTCTGCGCCATCCAAGCAAATGTTTACCAAGGTCACAAATAGCTACTTGCCTGCAAGCCCAGGCTAGTAACAAAAGTTTTGATTATCTGATGAGTTAGGAAGTGAGGTAAAAGAAGAATATGACATAAATTCCTAGTCTCCTAACAAAATGTTTAAATTCCCTTTCTTTAAAGCCTCTTTAAAGAGTATCTCACAGAAATCAAACCAGAAAAGAGGTGGGGAAGAAATGCCGGGCAAAGATGCTGGCTTATTTACTTTTTTTTTTTTTTTAAATACAGGGAGAAATAAAATGTTCCAGAGTCAAAGAAGTGAAATTGACCCAAGGTATCTGCCTGGAGCTAAATGAGACCTCCAGCTGTGTAAGTCAAAGCCCCCACCTCCATCCCCAATTCCTTACCCCTCCCTCTCTTCCCAAAATTCCTTCTGAATGTCCTGAAGGCAAGTCTTGGACTGAGGGACTTGGGAGAGGGTGGGGGAGTTTAACATGGACAGGCTACTTTGAATACTGAGCTCTGGATTTAAGGAGTGAGAGGCCCCATCTGGTGGACAAAGAAGGCAAAGACAATTTTATTTAAATTTACTTTTTTCCCTCCTCTATTGTACATTATATATATATATATATTCAGATTTAAGTTTGCTTTTATGTTAAGAAATTCTTCATGAAATATAAACTAGTCACCTAAAATATCAATTTATTTATTATTATTTTCATATAACTCTTTAATATACAAAGAATTTTTTTGCTGTAAACGCTGCATTCTCCATATAACCATTTCCCCTATAATTATTATTATTCCTCTCCTTTATTGATTGGAATGCTTCCTTTAGTTTGTATTAAGTTTTTATATGTCCTAGGGCATGTTCTTCAGAGAGATTTTATATGTTTAGTTTGTCTTTTTGGGGGGCCTGTTTTAAATTTTTTAATTATTATACTTTTATATTATGGCACTTTTAATATCCAGTCAAGCAGGTCTTTGCTTATTACACTATAAAAATGAAAGGCATTTTTCATCTATTCTTTTAGAAAAACTATAGCAACACCTATTCAAGATTCAAAAAAAAACACAAAACCATTAAAATTTTAATTGGAACTGCTCTAAAATCCCTCTATTTTTTTCTGGTTTTCTTTGGTATTGTTCAGTATCTTCTTTTTTTAGTTTTTAAAATGTTTTTTCCTTAGGTTTTATGGATTTCTTAAGGTTTATTTATAATATAGATTTTTCCATGATATATTCCAATTGATTTTTCTGGTATATTGGAAAGTTCGTTGAGTTTTTAATATTTATCTTGGGTCTAGTCATTTTCTTTAACTTGTTTATTAATTCCAGGAGCTTTTTAGCTGATTATTTTTCATTTTTAACATAAGCTATTGTGTTATTTCTCATAATATGTTGCTTTTCTCCTTCTTTTTAGTAGTTATGCCTCTTCTTTCAGTTTCATGTCTTATTGCATTGGTAAACTGTACAGCATGGTGTTAATTTTTAATGATGATAGCAGACCTCCTTGCTTTGTTTCAGTAAATCCAATTTCCTGACAGTAACAATTTCCTGGATGAAGGATAAGATGACAGGAAGAGTGGTATTTACTCATAGAAAAAAAAACGTTTTCTTACAAGGTGGGAATCCATTTAAGGGAACCATATATATGATGTGTGACGTGCATAGATTGGAAAGAGCCTGAGCAAATACTGTAGTCTGTAGAGGGCATTAAGTTACTTATTTTGTCCACTCTGACTATCGGTATCTTATTCATGATTATCAGTTGGGTCATTGTGACTCACAGCTCTTTTAAAATAATACCTAAGAAAATTATTTAACTTACAATTTTAAAAAACACCACAAATTTTGAAGACATAGGTTCACACAATGGAATAACTAAGTGCAATCTGCAAAATAGTTAAGCATGAATATACAACGTACAAGTAACATTCTGTGTGTTTCTGACGCTGATTTTCAGCTCTAGTCATTTAAAAAAAATTTTTTGCCCAACACTTTGCTAATTATAGCCAAGAAAAATGACCATCTTCTCTCTCTCTTTTTGTATCATCTTGGTTGAGCACTTATTTTCTTGTGCATCACAGCGGTCTGTGCCAGAATGCTAATTCCTTGTACGAACGATTTAGAGCTAACTGCAGAGGATTCATTCTAAATGTCTGTCCACTGCTCTTCAAAGTTCACATTTAACGAGGGTCATTGTACAAGACAAGTGCCAGAAACTTACTGCTACTCCAGAAATAACTCCTCTTTCTGTGCTGCAGTCTGTTTCTCTCTGAGGTCTTTACTGTCTACTCTATTCTGTGCCACAGCTAAGGTCTGCACTCTACTCAGTTTGGAGAGGATCTGCAAGTAGGGATGTGAAAAGATAGCAATTCCTCCAATATCCTAAAGAAGGCTTCTGCACTGCCCATGATGAATCAACTCTATGGCAGCACCTGTGTAGTGCTATTGTTTTCCTTTTCCTTCCACCACCGTCGATACCCCTGTCTTCCTAAGGGTTCCTCTTCCCCAGCCCCCAAGCAGCATTGCCTCCCAAGGTAATTTTCCTCAGTCAGCAGTCCTTGTTCCAGAATTTTGGGCCACAGCTCCTGATTGTGTCCCAGATTCCTTTTCCTTGAGTCCTACTGCATGCTTGTCTGATAATCAATCTGTTCCAAAGTGGTGTAGTGTCTCCTAATTTTCCTTAGGTTGCATTTGTACCTTTGGTGTCAGAGAGCCTTACCACAGCGGTTCTAATCAAGGGAAACTCAGGCCTAATGAGAAGCATGAAAGACATGGGTTCCTCTAACATCACATCCTTGAGTACTTATGTAATGTTCTTATGCTCTTCCATCTAGTATATTCCCATAACAGAAGTATGCATGCATTGTTCTCAGCTATCCAGACACTCATTTTGCACTGGTACATAGTGAGTATCCTACCTGTTAGCTCTTGCAATGGGGATTATTTAGGCCTGTCTTCTGTACATGCATTCTGTAGACATTTCTATCCCAACTACTCTCCTTTTGCTCCTCATACTTCACCTCTAGGCAGAAATCACCTATTTCAGCCACAGGGAGGGAAGGCAATCCCACTCTCCTGTCAAGCACCTGTTACCACATCTCAGAATCTTCATTAGCAGAACGCGCCACCCTATGTCTGACTTTCATTCTCTCCGCTGCAATATCAGGTTAATTTAGTTTTTGTGGTTGTGGTTTCCCACATAATTTCCAAAACGTGAGATTACTTTATTCTCTTATGCTATAGCTATTGGTCCAGGGGAATCTACCAAAGAATCATTTTAATGGTGGTAAAATACACATAATATAAAAATTTACCATTTTAAGTGTACAGTTCAGTAGTGTTAAGTACATTCACATTGTTGTACAATCAATCTTCAGAACTCTTTTCATCTTCCAGAACTGAAACTCTCCACCCATTAAACAGCTCCCCATTCCCCCCCTGCTCCCAGCCCCTGGAAACCATGATTCTACTTTCTGTCTCTATGAATTTGACTACTCTAGGTACCTCATATGAGTAAAGTCATATAGTATTTATCTTTTTGTGACTGCCTTATATCACTTAGCCTAATGTCCTCAAGGTTCATCCATGTTGTAGCATGTGTCAGAATTTTCTTCTTTTTTAAGGCTGAGTAATATTCCATTGTATGTTCATACCCCATTTTGTTTATCCATTCATTCACCTATGGACACCTGGGTTGCTTCCACCTTTTGGCTATTGTTAATAATGCTGCTATGAACATGTCTGTTCAAATATCTCTTCAACACTCTTATTTCATTTCTTTTGGGTATATACCCAGAAATGGAATTGCTGAATCATATGGTAGCTCTATTTTTAAAATTTTGAGGAATCGCCATACCGTTTTCCACAATAGCTACACCATTTTATATTCCCAGCAACAGGGCACAAGAGTTCCAGTTTCTCCACATGCTCACCAATATTTGTTATTTTCTGCTTTTGTGATAGTAGCCATCTTAATGGGCATGACGTGTGTTTGATTGGCATTTCCTAACGATTAATGATGTTGAGCATCCTTTCGTGTGCTCACTAACCATTTGTATATCTTCTTTGGAGAAATCTCTATTCAAGTCCTTTGCCCTCCAGTTTGTTTTTCAGAACTACCTTTCTTCAGAAACACATATGTTTATATGCAGAAGTTGTATTTTCTCCGCTAGCTCACATCACCCTTGTTCTGTCACATTTGCTTCATTGGAGGCAGGTTGCCTCCAGCCTCCAGATAATATCCCCAGCCCTCGCTTTCCTTGCCCTCTGCCCCAACACTAAAGGTCAGTTTCCATGCAGAAAAAATAACTTACAGACGGAGGACTGATGAAGACAGTGTGTCTTCTGGAAAGAGCCTGAGATCTGGGACAGCCTAACTTTTGGTCAGCTGCCCACTTGTGTGACTTGTAACAGGTCCTTTAATTACTCCAGTCTCTATATGAAAATAGGTGTTTTAGCTGCATTGTCAAACTCACACCACAGTCAATACATTTATTGAAAGAGAGGGTGGGAGGGACAGAGAGAGGCGATTTAGCCTAGAATCTTAACATTGGGAAATATCTTAACGTTCATTTAGAAAAATACCTGTCCCTCTCTCTCCCAACTCCCATACTTAATATGCTTCTTTAACATGTTAAGAGTCTTTGCAAAGTTTGAGAATGCTACTCTAGAAAGGTTAGGTGGTTTTATTATGCTTATTATTTTTACAAAGTAACATGTGCAAGCAGATGTAGTTAGGGGTCCACCAATCTGATTCTCATGAGCAAAATGGTGAGGCTGTGGCTTCCTCCTGCCTACTCTCCCATGATGTCTGCCCACAGCCTCCCTTGGGGGAGGATGTTTATTTCAAGCATCCGGAGGAGCATTGTGCTTTGTTCAGGATCCACCTGCTCCTCTCCAGGCCCAAACACAATTCACTGATGCTGTTGGATTGCAGAGTGGGAGGGAGGCTGGGCACTCAATTCCCTTGAATTGAGTCCAAGAAACTAAACAAGGGGTGGAGGAACCCTGTGTAGAAGCCAAACTACTTGGGATGTTAAGACGAACAACAATTCACTGAGTTCTTATTTGTTTGGTGTTATGCTCCGTGCAGTCTGGGTTCAAAATTATGTAATGTACACTCACTCCGCCCACTAAGAAGTCTTATAGTCTAGTCACAGAGATGACAGAAATGACAGTAGCGGTAAGGCAGAATGTGATTAAACATCGACGTGTGGACAGTATAGTCTACGAGGTATTGCTCTTATTAATAGCAATAGTAACAGCTGCCATTTATCCAGTGCCGATTCGGTTCCAGGCACCTTGCCAGGCACTCTTCATACAGCAGCTCGTCAGTCACCACCCCACTGAGTCTTCAGCTGAGGAGCCTGACACTCAGATGAGTTGCATGACTTGCAAAGAATCTAATTAATAGCAGAACAGGGGCTGATACCCAGTCTAAGGGAAGATAGGACTGGCTTCCCTGAGTAGGTGAGTTGGAATTGAGTCTTGAAGGATGGGAATCCAAGGGGGAAAGCCATGTTCTTCATGGCAACCAGGGTTGTGAAGGTCGCAGGCTCACACACTCCTGGGCTTCCTTGTGGTGCTACCCCCACTCCCAAGGCCCTTCCCTGCCAGCTTCTCCTGCATACATGCTACCCATTCTTCAGGATGTTTCTGATAACCCCAAACCAGATGTATGCTCACCTTCCTTTGAATGTCCATAGCAGTTGTCTGTGCCTTTCTTAGGGTTCTTACCATGTAACTAGCTCTGTTGCCTCTTAGTCTCTTTGTGCCTCAGTTTCCTCATCTATAAAATGGGGAGAATAATAGTATCCATCTCGTAGGGTTGTGTGAGGCCTAAATGAGTCACCATGCATAAAGCACTTAAAATAGGGCCTGAGACATAGGAAGCATCGTTTATCTTCATGGCCGTGCACATACAGTGAGAGCTCTGATCACGTGGAATTCATTGCCACACCGGTACCCCCCCCCCCGCCCCCCTACCTGACACACGCGCAGAGAGTTTCACACAGTGTCTCATATTCGGGTCGTGGTCACTGTCAGAACAGCTGAATCTGGTTGAGGACTCAGCAGACTGAGGAGGTGCCGCCTTGTTCGGCTTGTTTAGATTATGCAGGAGCCCTGTCCCTCTGCCTCTCTCAGGAACAAGACACATGTCAACCAGAGACACTTCAGAAGCCCAGAATCATCCAGGCAGGAGTTTCCCTCCACCTCATCCAGAAGGCACGGTGCTGGGGAGGGTGAGGTGCTCACGGAGAGGCAAGGCAAGGCTCTCCAAAGGGACACGAGCCCAGAAAGGAAGAAGACAGCTGATCACATCAAATGTGGAGCCCAGACTCCCCACAGCAAATGCTGTTGTGAAGAGCCTCTATCCAAGGACTTCCTTGGACACCTGCATCGTCTATCCTTTTCCTGAGGGGGAAGCAGCCGTGGCCTGAGAATTCACTTCTCTGTAACCTTGGCTCTTGGGGAACTTCTGAGGCTACCGTTGGATTCTTCTCTCTGTGATCTGGAGGTTAGGTAGCCCTGCTCTCTGGCCTCCCCAAAGCCTCGATTTCCAGCTGGAAGGAGAAAGCTGGATGTGAGGCCAATGTTTTTTTTGTGTGTGTTTTCTTGCGGTACGCGGGCCTCTCACTGTTGTGGCCTCTCCCGTTGCGGAGCACAGGCTCCGGACGCGCAGGTTCAGCGGCCATGGCTCACGGGCGCACCCGCTCCGCGGCATGTGGGATCTTCCCAGACCGGGGCACGAACCCGTGTCCCCTGCATCGGCAGGCGGACTCTCAACCCCTGCGCCACCAGGGAAGCCCCGTGAGGCCAATCTTGACCTTGTCTTGTGCAGGAGCAAAGGAGCCTGGGTTTTCCTGCCTCGGGCCATAGCAGTAGGAAAATACCCAGGCTGCTTTCCAAGCTGGGAGGGCCCTCTGGCCTTGCCCTGAGGAACAGTCTTGCTCCACAAACAGGAAGCTTTCTTCTCCACGGAGGCTCAGTTCTGATGCCCCTCACACGCCCCAGCAGTTTTCCCCTAACAGGAAAGCTGTCAGAGCCGTTCAGGCATTTCCTCCCCTGCCATCTGCCATCTGGACGGAGGAGAAAGTCTTGGTTTTGATTCCTTTTCTGTGCTGGGGAGGCCACTCCCTTTGGAGGCTATTGAAATAAATCCTGGAGGTCTGAGCACAGGGTGCTGGAGGGGCACAGTCAGTGATTCCAATTCATCCCTTTTCTGGGACTCAATTGTTGAAGAATAATCAAGAGTTTGTCTTCTGAGTCTGAGTGCCTGAGTCCTATGTCGGCAACCTGGAGCAATCTGTTGCCCTCATGTAAAACTGGGTTCCATGTTTCTAATGGGAAAGGGGAATGGAAGACTAGACAAGAACACCACTTGAGGTTGAGCCATGCTCTTTGTGAGACCCCTTGGAGCGTAAGAGGGAAGGGACCGAGGATCCTGTTGCGTCTAGAGTCATAAATTTGTTCTCTATTCCTCACCTCCCTTAGCTTTTCCTTCAATATTTGGGGCTATTGTAACCTTGAACAGAGGATTGTCTCTTCATTAGTATTGCATTATTAATATTTTCTGTTTCTGGTAATTTCTTTTGAATTTAATTTGAATAGTATATGTTTACATGGGCAATCCTTCAGCAAGATGATGTTTCCTAAATTCATCCTCCGGCATCTTACAGTGCCACCTAAGACCACCTTTTGGTCCTGGAAGATTTTGGAGTTTTTATCTTATTATGTTTTTGCACATAAGAAGTTTGCGAGATTTTTTTCTTCAGTTGGAATTTTAGAAAAAAAGGATTCTTCTTGTTTTGAGGGTAACAGTGTGACTTTAATCAGAATTATTGCCTGAGACTCCGGATGCAGTTCAGAGTATACTAGTAACCTCCTCTCCTTCTCACCGTTTTTCCCTGTCATCCCAGGAGGAGTTTAAGAAGGACAATGGAGAGGAACTGACCCGAGTCCTGTGTGGGAAGCAGCCGGGTGAGGCCAGGGCCGGGGTGTGCTCCTTGCTCCTGGCCCAGTCTGAGGTGAGGCCTCACTGCCTGCTGCTGGTCTTGGCCAACAGAACAGGTAAGGGGCACATCTGTCTTGAAGTCTAGGGAGGAAGAGGGGCTGAGGTTAGAGGATCCTGGGTAGAAATCAGGCCTCTTCACTCAGAGAGCACAGATGCTAGGGAGCAGGGCTATGCTGACTTTGGGAAAGACCCCCCTGAGATGGACCCTCACCATCAGAGCATCTTCTAGAATAGTACAGGATGAGCTGTTCCAGCTTCTAGATCCAGCAACCTCTGTTTCTAATTCTAGAACTTTCCAGCAAGCTCCAACTTCTGAAAAAGCACCAGTCTGACCTGAAAGAGGTAAGCTCTGTGAGATGAGGGGTCTCAGGGGAATTCACTGGAGCAGGGGAGAAAGTAATTATCTTCTCCAGACCTGCCCTTCCTACCTCTCCACCCTTCTCCAATAGTCCTTTTCCCTTCTATGTTTGAAACAAAATGTTACAGTGCAGCTTAATTAAAAGATTCCAGTCTTAAGTCCTGTTTAGAAAATCCCTGAGGTCCGTGTCTTCTTGGGTTTATTCACTGTTGAGCCACACACAGGGTCTAGCATGGTCTGGGCTCCTTGTCTAGAACCCATGTTCCACCAATGACAGGCTCTCTTTTTTGTCTCTTCCCTTCAAGCTGGGCATCCAAGGCTTCACTGAACAAGACGTCGGGAGCCACCAGAGCTATTCCCGAAAGACCTTGATTGCCCTGGTCACCTCGGGGATCCTGCTGGCTGTCTTGGGCACCGCGGGCTATTTCCTGATGAACCGCCGCAGTTGGAGCCCCACAGGAGAAAGGCTGGTCAGTTCTAGGGTCCAGGGCAAAGAAAATGGGAAACTAGGTCTCCTGGGTAGGTCCATGAATGCCATGCAGGGGGAGGAGAAATACCAGAAAAGGCACTTCTGTGCCCTCACAAGGGGATATGCGTGTATGCACATTACTGTATCCATGGACAAGTCAAAACAATATATAGCAGATTGGGGAGGGGGCACTAACTGGGGCCCTGGTCCCTGTGGTAGCAGATGGTTCGTGTCATCTATTTATTATTTTCCCTGGGATAGTTTAGCTGGATACAAACCAGAACAGGCTGCTAAATCAGCCACTTATTTGCAAGCATGTTAAAAGCCCACGGGCACCAAGTGGCTCACAAGGGGACACATGGAGGGAAAATCTACTCTTGACGTGTTCCGGATGAGAGAGGACAAGGCCAGGGTTGGCCCTTTACCTTCTCTGGGGAGGTTATTGCACCCTGGGGACTGCCTAGTTTCTGGCGGGAGCTGGCTCTTGAACTGCCGTGGCACGGTGTGGTGCCTCTCCTCTGTCCTTTCTCCTCTAGGAGCTGGAACCCTGATCGCTCTTCAGGAAGAAAGGAGTCTGCACATGCAGCTGCAACCTCCATCTTCCCCTCCCACTCCCTTCCTCTTCCTCCCACCCCCCCTTCCTGCTGCCCTGCTTATGAGATAATGCTCCTTTATTTATACACCATCTAGGGCGAAGACCCTTATTACACGGAGAACGGTGGAGGCCAGGGCTATAGCTCAGGCCCTGGGGCCTCCCCCGAGGCTCAGGGAAAGGCCAGTGTGAATCAAGGGGCTCAGGAGAACGGCACCGGCCAGGCCACCTCCAGAAACGGCCATTCAGCGAGACAACACGTGGTGGCTGATACCGAACTGTGACAGGGGGCGAGTGGGTGGGGCGAGACTGGGCAAAGTCTGGGGAAGGAGCCCCTCCCTGCACCTGAGCACGTGCTGTCTCCCTGCTGGGGGAGCCTCCCTTATCCTCCACCCTTTCCCACTGCACACCCCGTCGGAGGCCGTTCCTGGGACCCTGCCCTGTTCCAGGCCAAGGGGTTCTCGCCACCTTGGGGAGAGACAGGTAGCTCCTGCCCTTTCCACATTCAGCTCCCTGCACCCAGCCTCTGGGCTGCTCTGCGTAAAGGTGTGATAGGGAAAGCCAAGATGCAGAGAAACTCCTTGGGGGGGTTGAGGGCTTGCAGCTTCCACACAGGGGCCCCTTCTTTCCCCATCCTCTCTGCCTCATTATAGGAACTCCCAGGGGAAAGCACAGGCTTTTCTGGGTTGTAATTTCCTCCCAGGAGACTTTGCCTTTTACTCTTTCTTCGTTATATTTTCTTTCTCTACTTTAGGGAAACCAAAGCAACCCCTTTCACCTGCTCCTTTGTAATGATATAGCCAGAAAATCATGTTGTCTTAAACCATCTCTCTCATTCCCCCTCTAAGGCACTGTGGATTCTGTCACCAGCTCCCCTCTTGCTCTCCAAGTTCCCTGAGCTCCACAGGCCCTGCCCGCCCCCCGCAAGTTTTAGAACAATGTCCTGTGTCTATGTGTTTGGGGTATGTGCACACACATGGACACAAATGGGTGAGGGCACATAGCTTGGCCCTTATCTCTGCGGGGCCATGCAGAGCTTCTGCTTGGGCTGCTGCTTCTCCCTGTGGTTCAGAGTGGACAGGACCGTGGGACCAGATCTCTGAGCTGTGCCTCTTGACCTGTGTGCTTCTGAGGAAGACTCTTGCACGGAGGCTAGGTTCTGACCTTAACCTCTGTCTCAACGGCTTCCTCCCTCCTCTCCCTGACTCCTGGGTTGAGCTGTGGCCTCAGCCTCCCAGCAGACTCCTTTCTGTCTCTGCCTTCCCAACCCTTAATCCTTTTACTGCTCTGCAACCCATGTGGTCAGGGCCCCAGCACGTCTTCAGAGGACCCTCACCACAAGCCACCTTTTCTGTGAGTGACCCAGGTCCTGTTTTTGTTTCTGTTTTATTCCAGAGGGGTGAAAAGGGATCCTGGTTTCAATGACGGTTGGAAATAGAACTTTCCAGAGATAGGAAGATGGGGTGGATTTTTTTTTTTCCTGAATAAAAAATGGTGTGTGTAAATACTGTAATTAAAGTGATACTGAAACATATCTGTTCTGTGGTTCTGTCCCAGCCGGGTGTGCCTGAAGACCAGAGCAGCTGTTTCCCCATGAGACCTGGCCAGACTACGCAGGGACCTGGTAGGGAGGGGCTAGCCAGGGAAGAGGTGGGACCAGCTCAGGGGACACAGGTACCAACCAGGATGCTGCTTTTTGTCTAAGCCTACTAACTATTCCCCTCTCTGGGGGGGAGACAGGGATGCCCTCAGGGAAGCTGATGTTTCTAGTCCCAGAAAGAAAAGCAGGCAGAATGCAGCGGGGTCTTCAGATTGGAGGGTGCTGAGGACTTAGGAGCTGTACCCTTCATGAACACCTTTCTGAAATAGAGGCACATTTTGGTCACCATGTGTAAAAGATGCCAAACAAAGAGAAGGAGCCAGGGCCTGTGCACCCTCTATTATAGTCACACCATCCCCATCCCCAGCTGGGGGCAGAACAGTGAAGGAGGGTATGGGAACTTCTCTCTAGAGATCTGGCTGCCAACTCCTGGAGGGGATGCTTTCCACCTCTGCCTTAAGACAGCAGCCTAACTGCAAAACCATCTGTAAGCCCCCCTACCCCCAGCGCCCAGACACCCCACCCCCAGCCCCTACCATAGGAAGTGGGGGAGGGAGAGCTGTTGGACAATCAGAAGCTTCAGGAAACGCTCCTAAGTGTGTCAACAGTGGTGGCAGCAGTTGGGGCCAAACAAAGGATCCTTCGATTCTTATCTGTCCAAAGCCAGACCTTTTCCCTCAGCAGCCCTACCCCCATTTCCCCCTTTCTTTTCTCCAACTGCTCTAACCAGAGGTTCCTCCCCAGGACTCAGGGGAGGCAAAGGGAGGAAATCTTGAGGTTTCCCTAGAAGGTGATGGCTGGGGGTTGGTCAAAGGGAAGATGGTAATCAGAAAGAGAAGTCAGGTTGGCCTCTGTCTGGTCACACATCCGGCCGTGAGAGGGACGGGAGGAGAGTCTGGCCAGGTCAGGCTGGTGGTACAGGGTACAGACTCCCAGGAAACAAGGGAGGAGGAGAAAAGGCAGCTGGGTCTTTGAAACGCCTTCAGCGTCAGGCCCAGAGTCTGGGTATATTGCCCCGAGTTTGTCAGAGTGTGTAGGCTCTGGGAGGAAGGTGTGTGTGTGTGTGTGTGTGTGTGTGTGTGTGTGTGTGTGTGTGTG